TTATGATTTGTGATGTGCTCTGGCAGGAGTTCCAAAATAAGACTATGCTCTGATAATGCCCATAGTTTTAAACCCAAGAAACATTATCATTATGATCTTATTGCAAAGGATAGTTGAATATTGTTTATTAAAATTAATAATCCCCATAACCGCTTTCCAATATGCTGTAGAATACTTATACCGTACTCGACCATGTTAGCACCCAGGGGCCTCAACTCAGAAAATCACGATTTTGTAGGGGTGGGCGCTTACCCGAGCACCCCCCTCGAAAAAGAGTGCAAATGAAAATTTTGATTCATCAAGTGACAGATTACGTCTTTGAAAGAAAATCAAATTACTAAATTAGTTGCGTCGTCATTGATTTTCACAATGAAGAAACAGAAATGATCACAAAAAATACGCACATTTTATTACAATATTAATTACGTACCACCATAATTTACGGAATTAAAAACATTTGAGTCTGTTGGAACACAGTTGAAGTCAAAATTGTCATATTATTTCCACTGACAAAGTTGTTGGATCGTACGCAAACTCTCGATGAAAATCACTTTCCGCCATGATGCAATTGCAGATTTGACCTACAGCAGCGTCCTTTGACCTAATGGGTCAAGTTGGTTATTAACTAATCAGAATGCTGTGTTGTACTGACGCAATTCTTCGGAAATTCCTGAAGACTTTCCGGTAACGCAATGCGGAAGTGAATAATCGATGTCGAAGTATGATCCGTTGGGATTGATTTCAGCGAATAAACGACATGGTTTTTCCGAAACACTAGTAACTAGCCATTTTTGAGAGGTAAACTAAATATGGCATGAAATATTTATCGCATTTTACTTGTATTAACAGGTCATTGTCGAAGCGTAGTTTACACACGGTTACCGTGTTCTATGCATTCACATGTTCACAGCGATCGATATCCACGCTGTATCATATAAAAACGATTACCAAGATTCGTTACGCAAGACCAAGTTTTAAATTAGTTGCATTTTGAAGGGGCGGGCGCTTTGCCAAATGTGACCCCAATTATAAAAATTGCGCAAAAGTGGGGGGTGGGCGCTTGCCCGGGCGGTCGAGTACGGTACTACCTTATACTAAAATATATTTGGATAATTAGAGTACTAACACATTTTCATTTATGGTCCGATTAGATTTAAAATACACCACGAATATTCACTTTTGAGATATAATATTTGGTATGTGTTGATTCTTGGATATTTTATCTTCAACGTCCTGTACTTCGTTTATTAATTTGAACTTTCCAGTTTGCGTAAAAAGGGTGAGTTTTGCGATTTCGACATCGAAAATGCCTTTGCTTTATTATTTGCTGAGGGAGGGCCGCTTAGGTATGTGCTCTGTAACTTGCAGCAAATGAACCTAAAAACGTAAGGTAATCAAACAAAAATGACGTTGCACTAAAGTCCAAAAAGTACATTCAAGGTCTGCATTTTTTCGCAGCATAAAAATGATTTACTCCCTTTCTTATTGTGACACACTCAAATCAACTGATTTCCATTTCCCTCAAGAGTCACAATCGTTTGTGCCTCCATGACATGTTCATTTGCCTTCAATTGCGTTTTAGTGGCTGTCACAGTCATATTCTGAGTCTTGCCGATAACATTTTGGTTCAAATTCACGTAGATATCGAGGAGAAAACTCAAATTTTCAACTAAAGCTAATTTGCATAACAATGTTTTTGCCCTTGGTTGCCATATTGGATACCGCATACAACTAGGGAAATTCACTCGCATTAAATTTTGTTCGCAAAAATGTATTTGCACTAAAATACGTTTTTTATGCATAAACACGTTTTTTAACCTTGATTACTAAAATCAAAATATAATTCAGGTATCTATCGCCGCGGTAAGTAGTTTCGACCTTTTTTGCTCAAAAGGCAAAGGCGATAAGACTAGATTCTCAAGGACGCAGGTCGTTTGCATCGGACGATTTCTTTTGTTTCAAATTTGTTGTACGCCTAGAAACATGGCAGCATTGTTTTTGGTGAATATGTTCTGTTCCAATATTAGATTTTGATATGCCTAACAATTCCTTACTGAAACATTTCCTGTACTCTCTAAAATTTGACAATGCCACTAGCCCAAGATGGATCTTGTGTCACTGTACGTAAAACACACTCTCAAACTTGAAAATTTTAAAGTTCAGACCATTAAGCAAATAGATGGAAATACCAGTTGCATAAATCATGAAGATTGATGATTCAATTGCTGACCGGGATAGCTGCATTTAGTGTTCTTTTCTATGCAAAATAAAATCATATGGATGCTGTGGGCGGCGAAGGGTGACAGATTGTTTTGGTTCAACGGCTGTCAAGGCACGGGCAACATTTCCTGATTTTTTTACTATTCTGACGTGTTCTGGGCTGTATATAACAGTCAGACACTGACAAGTAAGTAAGTACATTGTACTAGTAAACAGTCCGGGACATAGTCAATACAAGTCGGTAGGCTAGTTGACGATCCACTCCCCTCCAAAAACAAGCAACATGTTTTTGGCTGTTTCCATGATAAGACATGAACGTGAAGCTATCGTCAGTTTGTAACTAAATGGTCCTGTATACGAAGTTCGCAAAAACCATTTAGTCTTTAGAAGTCACTTAGTTTATTACTAGGACGTATTCTGCTGTTACATTTATTATTTCCAACCGTTTTGCGATAGTATTTTCTAGAATGAAGGCAGCATTTACAGTTCATTCAAAGTTCAAAGTTGTGTTTGAGATTACGTTGATACAGTGTAACAATGTCGGCGCCAGTGATATCTTACCAGTGTGCAAAGTAGCCAAAATAAAAAGAATGATCATTTGAACTCTGTTATTACAAAACTGGTAGGAGATAATAAATTTGGGGCGAAAGTATTCAAAAATCAGTTTTTGGCTGTTGCAATGGCAGTGGTGGGCCAGGATTTTTTCCAATCAGTGACGGTACGACCTGTCAAGTATGAACAAAATCAGCCAAGCCAAAAAAATCACTGAAGAGTTCAAAAAATATTCCTGGTGAACATGGGCTCAAATTTCTCGGTAATGAAAAAAGATAATATTCAAATAGTAACTTTGTGCCCACACTCAAGCTGAGTAGAAAGAGCTATGTCTGTGGTGTTTTATCCCAAATTTATAGGAGGAGATACATTTGGCGCGAAGCTATCCAAAAATCAGTTTTTTGGCTGTTGCTATGGCAACGGTGGGCAACAAATTTCAGATTTGTCCTAATAACTAGGGTGAAGCTGCCAAGTTTGAGCAAAATCGACCAAGCCCAAAAAATCACAGAAGTAATAATACGTGAAAACACTGGAAATCACACAGACACACACAAACCCACAAAAGCGATTACTGTGGAATACTTTATTTTCGCTGGAATTAATTTTCGCTGAAAAGGCTTTTCGGGCATTTTGTATGGAATTTATTTTCACTGATTTTTGATGAGTTTAATGTAAAATAGAGGAAAAAAAGTATATTCGCTGAATTTTATTTTCACGGAATCATCCCTTCAGCGAAAATAGCGAAAATAAATTCCAAACGAAAATAAAGTATTCTACAGTATAAGACTATACCGTAATCGACCGCGTTAGCGCTCATGCCCGGGCAAGCGCCCACCCCCCACAACACAGCATTCTGATTAGTTAATAACCAACTTGACCCATTAGGTCAAAGGACGCTGCTGTAGGTCAAATCTGCAATTGCATCATGGCGGAAAGTGATTTTCATCGAGAGTTTGCGTACGATCCAACAACTTTGTCAGTGGAAATAATATGACAATTTTGACTTCAACTGTGTTCCAACAGACTCAAATGTTTTTAATTCCGTAAATTATGGTGGTACGTAATTAATATTGTAATAAAATGTGCGTATTTTTTGTGATCATTTCTGTTTCTTCATTGTGAAAATCAATGACGACGCAACTAATTTAGTAATTTGATTTTCTCTCAAAGACGTAATCTGTCACTTGATGAATCAAAATTTTCATTTGCACTCTTTTTCGAGGGGGGTGCTCGGGTAAGCGCCCACCCCTACAAAATCGTGATTTTCTGAGTTGAGGCCCATGGGCGCTAACGCGGTCGAGTACGGTAATAACTTTAAGGATGTACGTGGCTAACTAGGAAAATTCAAAACGAGTACAAATTTGTATATTCAGTAAAAGGTCTGACTCATAAAAAAAAATGAAAACAACCAATCAAATAAAAATAATTTAGCCAATGTTGTAATAATAACAGTTTACTCAAAAATTGGTGAAATAAATTACATGCAAATTTTCTGTTCAGAAAAAATATCATCTTTTGTTGAATGCCTATAAAGTGTCAATAAAACCAGTTTTACTATCAGTCTGCATTATACAACATGTATGTTTATAATGTCCATTGGGCTTTGTATAAAAAGGGATTTGGCATGATTTAGGGTATATGGGTATAAAATTTACACTGACCTCCAATCTCGGCACGTGTGTTTTTTACAGTTTTCATATTGGTCTTTATGTACATCATGTGCACTAAATAGCTAACAGCTGGAGAACACAGTCATAAATGAGAGTACTTTATAGTCATAAAAAATATTTAACTAGACAAATTATGATGCATAATTGTTTTAATTTACTAACTGGCTTCTGGTAGATATCTCAGCCTTTCTCTATGTATACTAGTTAAATACTTTATTTTCGTTTGGAATTAATTTTCGTCATTTTCGCTGAAGTAGAGATTCAGTGAAAATAAAGTCCAGTGAATATACATTTTTCCTTATATTTACATTAATTTGTCAAAAATCAGTGAAAATAAATTCCATACAAAACACCCAAAAAGTCAACGAAAATTAATTCCAGCTAAAAAAAAGTATTTTACAGTATGTGCATTTCTGACGACAGTCCACTGTAAGTGACCAATGTCATGTACAAAGATTTAAATTTATAAAGTACAACACTGTTCACATTACCTCTGACAGGCATTGGTCTGTACTGTGCATCTTCAATTGCTTGCATCTCATGAAGTAATGCATCCATGCGAAATGTTTGAGGTGGTGCATGATGATGCTGCTCTGCCAGAAACTCATTCACTAACTGCAAGCATAAACAAATAATATAAATTAACTATGTGAATAATTTACCTGATACATGTATGACTTTGAAAGCAGCAAATCCATGTTTTTAACCAAAAATGTAGTTTATTTTTCCAAAAAGCATCAACAAGTTTGTTTTGTTTTAATAAGATCACTCTATACCACATCAATTTATATGTTTAATATTTAACATTTATTAAATCATGCTTTCAAATACATACATTGAAGATTTGGATTGACAAAACAACCTCTGAAAGTGAAAATAAACATTTCCCCATTCTATTGTATGCAAAATTTCAAAAAAATGTGTGAGGCACAGGTTTCAAACTGACTTGTACAACGATGAAAAGCAAAAGCTATTTTTTTGGCCAAACTGAAACCCAAGATGTTTATGATATTTTATACAGTATAATTTTAGCACAAGCTGTCATTGCACATTTTAACCACTTTATCTGTAAAGACTTTGAGAATGTCAATCTGATCTCCAGTGTGGTACAGTTAAAAGGGTGATGAAAACATGTGGAGTGGGCTTCATGCAAATGTGATGAAATAATAATTGTGAATGTAATACGAGAATGTTTGCAACAGGTAGAGTGAAAGCCATCTGCAGTTCACATGTAGTACAGTTGTGGTCACTGTTTCCGTAAATTTTTTTGAATCATGAAAATACTGTGAAAATTTGCCCATTTCCCCCTTGAAATGTTTTTTCTGCATACAAAATGCATGGAAAGTTTCTCAAAAGACAAAATTTCACTGAGTAACTACAATTGAATCTGAGAAAATTGAGCGAGAATAAGGCTTAGAAGGAACACTGGTTGTGGTGTTGTAACTAATGAAGAAATATGATTTTCAGGTCAGCTATATTACATTTGCACAAGTAGCCATATGGCGGAAGTGTAAAATTGTTTTAAAAAAATGGGAACTCAGTCTACTTTAACCTCTGACGCTTATACTCACCTGTTGTTCGGGAGCTTCAATGAAACCTCTTTCTAAATCTCTAGGATGAATAACACCTCTTCTGAACCCTTCTTGTTGCAAAGATTTATCTTGTGTGAAATGTGTGGTCAATTTCATAAGGGGATTCGCCCCACCACATTCACCATCGATAAAGTCTCGCATAGCCATGATCACCTTAAAAAAACCATACATATTTTGAACCACTTCTTCCACTGTCAACTAATGTACAATCGAATGTGTTATATTGAGTGATATTCTGATCAGAAATTATTTGGTACTATAATATAAGAATCTAGCAAAAATCTAGTGAGAAAGTAAAAGGGATTCTTGCTAGACTTTGATCAAAAATAAATAGTGAATGAAATTCTGATCATGATATTGACAGATTCTTTTCTAGAATTTTGCAAAAGAAAATCATACAGTGTAGGCTCCACTAATTGTGATACTTTTTACAACGTTAAATTTACTATAAAGCAAGAATTAAAATATACTAGATGTGATTGAACTTGTCTGATAATAAACAGGTTTCAAATATCAAACTAGTGTATGGTAATGAACGCTGTTCCACCATGCTATTCCACCAAAACAATTTTAAAATCTCACAAAAACATGCTTTAGCAATTTCAATCAGAGTATTCCTTGATATATTTGGTTATGTAGTTGCATACCCAGATTTTAGCCATGCGTAAAATGACTATGTTTCAGGAAAGATTGGGGCATCCCACCCTCATCCATTTACGAATATTTAATTCTAACCACCAACACATTTTGTATTTGGGGGGGGGGGGGAATCATTTTTTTTTTTCATTTTAGGTTTGATCGATTGTTGTTTTTGTGTGGCTTCTTTTTATTATTTATTTGTGATAATGCATCGCCACGAAATAAACACCTGGCAATGCCCCCCCTCCCCCTAGTGGGGGAGGGGTAAACTAGTTCAGGTCATCTGTACTATAACCTTTGAACATCCGAAGTTCATTCACTGTTAACACCTAAATAACAATGATTTAACACATAATTTAAAATTTACAAATTGTCCTCAAATACCTTGTGCTTATATCGCTTTCTTCGAAAGAACCTCCAATACCCGAGTTTTCGTTATTTTTGTCAACATTTTTCCTAGCAGATACACGACATGTTGAAAGCAGCTGACTTCCGGTTGAGTCTATCCCAGGGTTCCACAATAATGGCGTCATAGGTGTATTTTTTAGCACCCCGTTTCTAAACAATGTGTGCCGAAGTGTTGTGAAAAATAATTCCGTGATATTAATTGAAGTCTACGCTATTTTCACATTTTGCCAAAAAAACCGTTAAAGTTCGTTTTCTTAATTATCGCCCTTATTTGTTAATGTCACACTTAATATATTCGGCTTCATAACACTACTTTCTATTTTGGCGGATTGATATTCAGAGTTCCCTGTACCCCGTATTACGTCAAGACGCCATCTTGGATTTCTGCTGGCTCTCAAACGTTGTAGCGAGCGTTGGTTAAAGACTATCTAAGGAAATTCAATTTATTCTTGTCTGCGCCGTCAAACACCGGTTGCTCCAGGTTACCGTGCGCTCTCCTGTTTACGTTTGTGTACCTCCAGTGAGCAGACGAAAACATGCCCCGTGCGAAAGCGGATGATATATTGAAGGGTTTTAAATTGTATCCTTTGGTAAGATGTCTTGTGTGCTGATGTCAACATCATGATGGAACTGTCACTGGGCTACTGTAATATACCCCCTGTACATATTTACTCGACTGCGTTATGTTTTTTTTCAGTATTTAACGTGGTTGCCATGGTTTCAGAAATGAGTCTGATTTGATGAATAGCTGTAAAATTAACGTACGACTGTATCATCAGTATATTACACTTTTGCAGATTGTCTAAATTAATAATAGTACAATTTTGCGTTAATTCGCAGTTGTTAATATTAATTTATTACAATCTTGTTTTGTGAGACACTAACGAAGCTCTGTCCACGATAGGCGAGTTATTTCGTGTCACAATCGATCGTTCCATTTAATCTTTTAGAGTTACTCTTCCGTGTGTGGATTATATCCACTGTCATTTATACCATCATCTTGTCATGGTGATTGACAAAATAAATTGTCATTAATTAAGTTATTTTAATTAATTCATATTAACTATATGCTTAGCACAATTTCATTCATATTCGCTGTAGTCTTAGTACATATCCATTTTACTGGGACTAGGCTTTCTTAATTGAATTGTTGTGCAGAACAACAAAGCTGTATATAAGCCATTATAAATTTGCTTGATTGATAACACAAATGTTTATGTAAATGACAGAGTAGTATGCAACAAGTACATCTGTTCGTTTACATGCACATCTATTGGAGATGCACTTCTTATATAGTAAATATGGTTTGTCATTCTGACCTTTGAGTGACCCCAATTAAAACTTTCATGAATTTTCAATAACAATTGCTCTCAAGTAGATTTTATCAGTCACGAGAGAATTGAATTGATTAGAGCCAGCCTAATGACACAGTTGAGACAATTACCGGTATCAATACAGTTCTAGGGTATAACTTGGAGTCTTTGTAATGCAAGTACATGTATTGTTATACATGTAATTATTTGTTTACAACATTCAGAATTGTGGCATTCATCAGCAAAACTTAATCTTTACACAAGAGCATGTCGTATGAGAAAAGTGATAACTCTGCTCAATCATTCTTGCAAACCAAGACACAAGAGCTAATTATCTCTCGCATAATTCAGACCATTTTAAAACTCAGGTCTCTATTATACAAACTACATCTCTACAGTGTTCTCCCCAGACTCTAAGCCAAGCATCGCGGCTAATTTACATAACAATACATCTTATTTGCATAATTTTGTTTGCATAATAATTAGTTTCCCCAACAAACATTATAACTGAAATAAAGAAGAGATACATATCTCATATATTTTTTATCATTTACATTCATTGTGTTTTATGTGTGCATCAAGTCAAATACAGTTTGAAATAGAACAGGAAAGAAATGGAAATACTTATAGCCAGTCAGTAAATATATTGTTTATCCGTGGAGGTAAATTTGGAAAATCTGTATGAAGAAATTAATAAATCAATAATGACATTTTTTTTCTATAACAGCATTTCAAAACTAAAGTCAGCGATTTTTCATTGATCTATCTATTATTTGTGTAACGCTACGATCACCGTAACATTGTCAGCTGACGGCATTGTGTTGAACGGGTATTCACCGCTGCTGTTGCGATCATCGGTCCCTGACTTTTTTGTTTAAAAATACACAAACTTAGAATGTTTGCTTAATTAAAACGATTCATTGATGATTAACTTACAAATTACATCAAAATCGCCAACGAAATGTTGTTTTT